ACCACCCTCCCCCCGAGCCGGTTTGTCCCTCCCCTCCCCTCCCCTCCTTTCCCCCGCCGCCTCCTCCTGCCGCTGCCGCTGCTTTGGCTGCTGCGTCATACGCCCCAGAGCTGCCGGGACGGAGGGGCTGGGCCTGGGGACCCCCCGGCCCTTGCCTGCCCGCCCTCCGACGCCCAGACGTGCCCTCCCCGCGCGGGGGGTTCGCCTCGGTCTCCCACGTCTGCCTCTGCCCGGCTCCCGGCGGCCCCAGCTGTCACTGGTAAGGAGGCGGCGGGAGGCGCCCGTGGGGGGGCAGGGAGCCGGGGGTCGGCGCGCAGGGCGCGGGCGGGAGAGCCTCGCCGCCTAGGCATCGGTTCGGGCTGGGCCGACTCAAGTCCCCTCTCGGACTCGCCGTCATGGGGAGTAGAGACCGGGACTGGGACACGCCCCCCTCCCGGGGCACTCAGGGAAGTTATCTAACCCGGGGGCAGGGAGCCCCGTATTTGAGGGTGACCTGACATAACCTGGCATCAGGTTGATTGTTCTGAATGAGACACGCGGGCCCAGGGAGGCAGCCGTTCCTATTCTGGAAAACATCTCCAGAAAAGGTCCCAAAACACATCTCTGGGTAGCAGAGCACCCCAATTATGATACCTCTAACAGGAGAAGGTGATAGTAGAAACTGAATGGTAACCTTTGCTTCTTCGATCATCGTTTCTCCTACAATCTCAAGGCCAGGATATAGTATCCCAGGGGAGCTCTGGAAGCTGGGAAGCTAGAGAACTAGGTTGGGAGGTGGGGGTAGTTAGGGAGAGGAGAGCCAGGCACCAGAGTTGGAAGAGCTGGAGTCAAGAAGCTTGGGAGGGGGGCTGTGTGATTTCCTATCCAGGTGCTTCAGATTTGGAGTCTGGGGGCACAGCAGCTTGAGTCCTTGAGGCAAAGAAAACTGGAGACAGTTTCTCAACATTCATAACCTTCTCCTATCCCACTTCTGGCTAGGCCCCCCCAGGATGCAATGGCACAGCCCCCCCGGCTGAGCCGCTCTGGTGCCCCCCCACTTTGGGACCCAGCCTCCCCTGCTCCCACTTCAGGCCCCAGGCCTCGACTTTGGGAGGGTCAAGATGTTTTGGCCAGATGGACGGATGGGCTGCTATACTTGGGGACCATCAAGAAGGTAAGACCTTTTTGATTTCTGACCTAGCGCCTTTCCCCCATTCCCCTTATGTAGTTCTGATTCCTGTTTCATCCCCTGTGCTCATCCATTCCAGGTGGACAGTGCTCGGGAGGTGTGTCTGGTCCAGTTTGAGGACGATTCCCAGTTTCTGGTTCTATGGAAAGACATTAGCCCCGGTGAGACCCTGGGGACCCAAGTGTGTGCATGCCATGGAAAATAGAAACTTGGCTTGGGGGATGGAAAGGGGCTTGAGGACAGGCCCTGCAACACTGTGTTTCCTCACAGCTGCCCTCCCTGGGGAGGAACTCCTCTGCTGTGTCTGTCGCTCTGAGACTGTGGTCCCTGGGAACCGGCTGGTCAGCTGTGAGAAGTGTCGCCACGGTGAGAGGGCGGAACACCTGAATGGTCTAGCTTGCCTCTGAACCTTCCCTCCACCACGGTCCTTATGCCATTGTCCTGGCTGAGTCCCCAAGCCATTGCTCTGGGCAGTGTCCTCAACCCTGTAACCTCACTCCCTTCCAGCACAGGGAGAAACAGCCATGGAGGGGGGAGGCGTGAGCTTTGTAGACAGTGGGTGCTTCAAATACACCCTTGTCTAATCATAAGATTTGGGGCAAATCCCCAAACCTCTAGGAGCCTGGTTCCCTCATCTGTAAAATAAGAGTAAGTCACTCACCGCAGCAGGATCGTGGCGAAAAATGAAATGAGGTGGCTGAGACTCTTCCTATCCCAGTATCTAGCCCACCCAGGTATGCAATGCCATAAGTGGTTGGTCTACCCTCAATATTATCATTATTCAGCTTATCACCAGGACTGCCACGTTCCCAGAGCTCCAGCCCCTGGAGAGGGAGAGGGCCCATCCTGGGTCTGCCGCCAGTGTGTCTTCGCCATCGCCACCAAGGTAAAGGCGCTTTCCTGTGGGAACCCCCTACCCACAGCTTCTCCCCACCACCCCTCTGAGGCGGCCTGTCCACTCCCTCTCTGCAGAGGGGGGGTGCACTGAAGAAGGGCCCTTACGCCCGGGCCATGCTGGGCATGAAGCTGTCACTGCCATATGGACTGAAGGGGCTCGACTGGGACGCTGGACATCTGAGCAACCGGCAGCAGAGCTACTGTTACTGTGGTGGTCCTGGGGAGTGAGTAATGAGGGGGGGAGGTAAGGAATGAGTGATAGAGTAGGGGGAAGGCGGACTTCGGGGAATGAAGGAGAAAGAACAGAGTGACGCGAGTGCCGAAGAGGGCAGGGGGAGGTGGTGAGTAGGGTCCGGGGCAGTGGAGGTGGGGGCAGTGTCTGGAGGTCACTAGGCCTGTGCTCCCCCGCAGGTGGAACCTGAAAATGCTGCAGTGCCGGAGCTGCCTGCAGTGGTTCCATGAAGCCTGCACCCAGTGTCTGAGCAAGCCCCTCCTCTATGGGGACAGGTGAGACTGGGGCAGCCGGGAGCCACACGGGGAGCCCTCTCACTCTGCTCCACCCTCTTGGCGCCCTGCCATGCTGTCTCAGGTCTGTCCTCTTCCCAAGCTCTGAAGCTTCCCTTCCCTGCGTGCCCCATCCTTGCTCGTGAGTCCTCTATAGTGTGGTAGGTATTGTTTTCTTGCATAAGGTGTGTTCTCTCCTTCTCGCCCACTTCCAGGTTCTATGAGTTTGAATGCTGTGTGTGTCGGGGGGGCCCTGAGAAGGTCAGGAGGCTACAGCTTCGCTGGTGAGCTGGTTTGGGGACCAGTGTAACTTCTCTCCACACCCCCAGGATTTTATCCTGCACACCCCAACCTCCCAGCTCGGGATTCTCTAGGCTCTTTTAATGCTTCCACAACCTTGACAACCCAATATTTCTTCAGGGTGGATGTGGCCCATCTTGTCCTCTATCACCTCAGCGTTTGCTGTAAGAAAAAATACTTTGATTTTGACCGTGAGATCCTCCCATTCACCTCTGAGAATTGGGACAGTTTGCTCCTCGGGGAGGTAAGGGGTAGTGGTAGTGAGGCTTCGGCGGTGAGGGTGGAACAAGGAAGTATAAAGAAAGGGGGAAGGGAAGCACCAATGCTCCCCTGACCCCATTTTCCCTCCCCTCCCCCAGCTCTCAGATACCCCCAAGGGAGAACGTTCTTCCAAACTCCTCTCTGCTCTCAACAGCCACAAGGACCGGTGAGTTGGATGGAGACAGGCTCAGAATGAGATGCAGATATGGATATGGAATCCTGGGAGGGAAGGGGCTGCCACCCCCCTGGGAGATCATCTCTGAAAAGTGACAGCATAAGAAGGGCTCTTTTTTACTGCACTGACCCTGTATCATTTGTCTCCTCACCCCAGTTTCATTTCAGGGAGGGAGATTAAGAAGAGGAAATGTTTGTTTGGTCTTCATGCTCGGATCCCTCCCCCTGTAGAGCCCCTTACTGGAGATGGAGCCCCCACCAGGTCACTGGTCCAGGGAGGATGGGGAAATTCTCAGGGTATCAGTAGGGGGTGGTATATGTATGGAGATGGGGAGGTCTTTGGGGTGTCCGGGAGGGGGCTGGGGGGATAAGGAGGCCTCTTACAGCTTCCCTTCAGGGCAGGGCCCTGGGGGAGGGGTCTCACGTCCCCTGGGGAAGCGCCGGAGGCCGGAGCCAGAGCCCCTGAGGAGGAGGCAGAAGGGGAAAATGGAGGAGCTGGGGCCACCCTCAGCAGTGCGCAATCAGCCCGAGCCCCAGGAGCAAAGGGAGCGGGCTCGTCTGCAGAGGGCACTGCAGGTACAGGGGCAGGGGGATCCCCACGGAGCAACCGGTGGTGTGGGAAGGAATCAAGGATTATCTCTCAGTCCTTTGCTCCTTCTTCTAGGCCTCAGTGTCTCCACCAACCCCCAGCCCTAACCAGAGTTACCAGGGCAGCAGCGGCTACAACTTCCGGCCCACAGACGCCCGCTGCCTGCCCAGGTCAGTGCTCCTTCACCCTCCAACCAGATATGCACCCTTGGAGTCTCTTCTCCAATTATCTACATCCTCTGAACTTTCTTACCCAGAATTATTTCTCCCCCTTGGCTCCCCCCTTCTTGTCTTAGAGAGACTTCTAGAACCAATGTCTGATCCCTGGTATTCTGGGGATGGGGATTCCTTGGGGCTAATGTTTGCGCTTTGCCCTTCTCAGTGGGAGAGGGTCCTATTCCCCTGCTTCAGGTCCTGACTTTCCCCCTCCCCAACCCCAGCAGTCCCATCCGGATGTTCGCTTCCTTCCACCCCTCTGCCAGCACCGCAGGGACCTCTGGGGATGGTGAACCCCCAGACAGGTGAGATTCTACCCCTTTGCCTGTGCCACCCCTCTTCACCTCTATGTTCCTAAGTTCCTCAGTCTCTAACTTGATTGCTTCGTTCCTCTGATCCACATGTGAGCTCCATTTTCAGTCAGTCCTTAACTGCACCTGGACTCACAATTGCCTTCTCTCCCTAGGTCACCCCTGGAACTTCACATTGGTTTCCCCACAGACATCCCTAAAAGTGCCCCCCACTCGATGACTGCCTCATCTTCCTCAGTCCCAGCCCCCTCCCCAGGTCTTCCTAGACGCTCAGCACCCGCTTCTCCCCTGTGCCGTAGTTTGTCTCCTGGGACTGGGGGAGGAGTCCGAGGTGGGGTTGGCTACCTTTCCCGAGGGGACCCTGTCCGGGTCCTTGCTCGGAGAGTACGGCCTGATGGTTCTGTGCAGTACCTGGTTGAGTGGGGAGGTGGGGGCATCTTCTGAACAGCCTGCCTCTGCCCACCTCCCCATTCACACACACCGGCACTTTCATACCCTGACCTCTGACCTCACCTACAGCTGGGATGTACCTGGGGAGGTAGGGGGTAGTTCTCTCTACTGCCCAGGCTGGAATCCAGGTGGGGGGATTGGGGGAGAGGCTGTCTCTTCTCTGCTCCCTTCGTGATTCCTGACCCTTCTCCCATCCCTCTTCCCATTTCCTTTGATGTTATTTTGTTACAGCTTTTTAAATATTTTTTAAAATTATTTAACCCCTGGGGACTGAGACTGAGGGCAGGGGGGTGGGGGATGATAAAGGATCCCAGACTCTGTATGATTGAAATAAAGGTAAATAAACAAATCTAGCAGCCCTGGGTCATTCTGGAAGATGAGAACACAGGAAACAGAAGCACTTCTAATCTTCCCAAATTCACATATGTGACAAGAAAAGAGGCAAAAGGCAGAGAGAACCACAGACAGGATTTATTAGGGGCCCAGTTATCACTGCAAGTCAAAGGGCATTGAAATATACAAGGGGAACATGGCAGGAACCGGGCTCATCATGGTAGGACTGTGCTGGAGTCCGCAACTGACTCTGTAACCTGGTGCACCCAATGCAAATATGGGGAGTTCCCCTGCTCCACAGGCAATGCGATCACCTCGGCCACTTCGTAAGGGTGCACGGAACTGAAAAAATGGTGGGGGCGGGGGGGGGGGAGGAATCACTCAAAGATTTACCTAAAGGAGCCCACTCCCTCGGACTGCCCAACAAGTCTACCCCGCCTCACTACCCGTCGGTCTCACGACATAATCTGTCAAAGCTGGAACCAAGGAACTTCGGGTTTTAATCATCTAAGAAGCAAAGATAAGCATGATTGAATCAGGGGTGGGGTTGATTTCAGGATCTCTTGACGGATAGGAGTCAAAAGGGTTTCAAAAGGGTTTCGCTGGATGGGGAAACGTTTCTCACCATCAGCACTTCATTGTCCTCCTCAAGCTCTCCTTTCCATTCATAGCTGAAAAGGTCAGGGAGAGAGTGTTAAGGGAGCAAAGACTGCCCTCAAGGAAAGGCCCAGTCAGCCCCTAGAGTCAGGTTCCCCCCCCCCACCAAAGCCTATGACTCACATGGATGTAATCTGAGGGATGAGGTTAACGCAGGCTGCCAGGCGCTTCTCCACCACAGCCCTGAAGGTGAAGAGAAAGCCCCATTCAGAATGCCCCATGACCCGGAGTTTTGCACTGGCAGCCACAGGACAGGGTTCCAAAGCGGGAGATCAGGCAGGAAGCTGCAGGAGTGCACTTCTCTGCCACCTCCAACTCTCTCCCCTCACGATCCTCCTTCCTGGCTCCACGCTAAGGTTCCCACCTGGCGATCTCCTTGGCGACCCTCTCGTTGGGGCAGGTGACAAAGGCTGCAGAGACTGAGCCGGGAACATAGCCTGAGCTCGAGGCCGGCGAGGGCTGGGACGGGGGGCTTCCGGAAGCCATGGTCAGCAGAGCTCGGGGTAGCAAGAGAAGGCGAGAGGCCACAGGCAGCAGCGCCGGCATCCAAAGAAGCGACAGAAGCAGAGCGGCCTGAGAGCACGAAATGAATTCGGTGTCACTCCACAACTACCCGAGGAAACTGCATCTCGTGAACCCTTCGCTTGGATAGACAAGCTCTGCCCTTCCCCTCTTCTGCACCCCGAAGGAAAAGGTCCCTGAAGCTGGGAGAGAAACTTGAGGAATTAAGGCAGACTCGGTTTCCACTCCCTCCTCAGAAGCCAACCTCTAGGATTTGGGGAGCGGGTGGTGGTAGAGGCTGCGAGGACCGGAAGGGGCGGGGCCGGTCACTCACCCCTGCGCCGAACAGGATTGCGGAAGCCCGCCCCCAACTCATGCAGCCTATTGCTGGTAGAGGAGGGTTGAATGTCAAAAATCACACGTAACTCCGAGAAACGACCCCAAACCCAGGAAGAGCGGCCTCTTCTTACCTGGGCAGCAGTCACGTGATAAGAAAAAGCACACCACGCGACCACAGCGGAAGCCGCACCGAACATCCAGAGCCAGCCAATCCTGGCCCTCACGTGGCCCAGTTTGCCCCTCCTCCTGAAGGAGGAGGAGCGAAAGGGAATTGGGCCAATCGACAGCCGGATCTGTAGACGTGCGCGGAAATGGCACTCTCGTTTCCGTGTAAACCGGAAAACAGCCAATTGCAGGCTGAGGGGAGCCGCAGCGTCGTTCCACTGTCACGTGAGGGGGCCTGTCTCCCTCAGGCGGCTGTATCTCAATGAGCGACGCGAAGAGGCCAATCGCTGGCCAGCCCCGCACGCCACGTGACGAGAGTGCTGGTGCTAGGAAAGGGGGGCTGGAGACCCCGCCAATTCGATGCGTCAGGTTGTGGAGTGTGGAATCATCTTTAAACGCCAGAATGTGCCCAGTTACAGCCGTTAGACTGTTCCCGAGGCCTTAAGGAGTGGGAGGGTCTGAGAAGCTCGAATCTCAGGGGGTAAAGAGAGCGCCCCCTGCCTCTTTGGTTAGGACTGACATATGTCTAGGTTGGGTAATGAACAGGGATAATCTGAGAAGCCAGCTGTCCCTGGGCAGGGGAAAGTGATTAGGCAGGGATGTGCATGGCAAGACGATGGCTAGGTGGGGCAAGATGCTTTTTTAAAAGGACAGAGTGAAACCCTGTGAATGGGATAGAGGGTGATGAAAATGGGGCTGAGGGCAATTCAGCCTTCTTAACTGAAACCCTACAGCTGGAGACAGACTGGTGAATGGGGTGGGGGTGGGGAAGAGACGAGGGCAGCAGGTTGGGGATATGGAGGACACCAAGACGTGGTGATGGTCCTTTTGTCCCTCACCCCTCTTCTATTGAACTCTTCAGGACTTATAACACCTCTGAGTCTTGGGTCTCCTTCCCTTAACCCATCCCCCAGGAGTCTGGACCTGTCCTACATAACTTCCCTGGGGCCCAAGCACATCCAGTGACCCAAAAATGGAGAGAGGGGCCAATGAGAGGAGAGAGAGGTGGGAGGAGGCAGCAGAGAAAAGGCTCTTGCCACTCCCCCTACCCAGTATTTCTCCTCCTTTCAAGATCTGGGGTCTCTGGGTCTGCTGGGTGGGTGTCACTGGGCGTTTATCAGAGTTCTGTCCTACCTGCGTCTCTGGGGATGACGTCTCCCTGAGATCTGTCTTTGGATTAGGAGTTTGTTTCTGAGCTGGATCTCTGTAGGGCCTTTCGGTATTTGCAGTGGGATCTTTCTTTGGGACCGAGATTCCTTTTTGTTTTGGGAATTTCTGTGTTTCTGGGACCGAGATCACTCTCTCTCCAAGGTCTTTCAAACTCTTTATGAGTTTGGGGTCTCTGCATTCTACATCTCTGAGCTACCTGAGTGTCTCTTTCTCCTCTTCTTCTCTCTTTTCCCTTCTGCCCATCCTCAACCCTCAGGTCTGGAGTTTCTTGGTCTCCTGAGTTATCAGTCTCTGAGTCTGCAGTTTCTTTTCTCTGAGATTTAAGTCTGGGGTCTGGTATCTTTGGATCTGAGTTCTCTAAGACCTAATTCGAGGTCTGGATTTTTTCTGAATCTGGATCTCATCTTTTTCTTTGACTCTAGGTCTCTGATCTTGGTTCCTGAAATCACCATCTGATTCTGGAGTCTTAAGATTTCTGTGGCTGTGCAGAACCTTTTTGAAGCTGGACATTGATATTTTGATCTCTGACCCTTCTCTCAATGGGAAGGGGAGTCCAGGATCTGTTTTGTGCCCTGAGATTGGGGTATCTTTCCCTCTAGATTTTGGGTTTAAAATTAACCGCCCCCCCTGGGGGGTGGCAAGGTATATTTCTCTGTGGGTCTGGGGTCTGTCAGTCTCAGGATCTGAGGTATGCATCTTTAGAACTGCACTCCGTCTACTATGTTTTTGAGGCAGGGGTCTCTCTCTCTGGTTCTCACTGGGTAGGGGTGGGGGCTGCAGAGTCTCTCTCTCCTCCTCCTCCTGCTCTCTCCT